TGGTGGTTGATCCAGGATTGTTGAACATCCCTTCAGATAAAAGAAAAGTTGTATATCAGTTGGATATATACCGTTTTCACTTTAAATTGGACACTTTTCAAATCAAATCGGACACACCCCTCACAATTAGGTGGTTGATAACTAGACCACACTAAGTACTGTTGCAAGCCCCGCCCCAATATCCGCGCCCATTTCTCAGCGCGAGCAGGGTCTTCCGAGATGCTTCATGAAATCTGCTCCTTCGACTTGTTTTCGTTTATAGGTATCAACCTTTTTCAGTTGAAGTGTGTGTGCAAAGGGCAAAAACGAAAAAAAGTCGAAGGAGCAGATTTCATGAAGCATCTCGGAAAACCCTGTCCGCGCTGAGAAGTGGGCGGGGATAATGGGGCGGGGCTTGCAACAGTACCTAGTGTGGTCTAGTTATCAACCACCTAATTGTAAGGGGTGTGTCCGATTTGATTTGAAAAGTGTCCGATTTGGTTTGAAAAGTGTCCGATTTGATTTGAAAAGTGTCCGATTTGGTTTGAAAAGTGTCCGATTTGGTTTGAAAAGTGTCCGATTTAAAGTGAAAATGGTATATACCCAACTGATATGCAACTTTTCTTTTATCTGAAGGGATGTCCAACACTCCTGGATCAAACATCATACCTGCTATTTTCAACACTATTACTGTGCATGTAATGTCAAAGAGTTTCTGAGCTTCAGTACTGCAAGTCTTCTGAGTGTTGATTCATAAATGACATTCTTTCAAGTCGTTTATTTCTTGACTACGTTTCGGGCCTTAAGCCCTTCTTCAGGTCTACAAAACATATATGTTCACATAGCCTACACCAACATCAATCCACTATTAGACATACATCGCAGAATATTCGAAGAGGGAAACAATCATTTAACAACTGACCGACTTCCTACGGGAAGGAGGGCCTGGGCTGGAGCGGGTCCGGGATGGAGTGGGTCGGGATTGCTGCAAGATGGTTTGGTGATGACGAAAACCAGAGATACGTGAGATTGACTTACCTCCCTTCTTACCGAATTGCACCGCTTCTCGCAATCCTATTCATGGATCGTTTGGAAAGGCGTTCGCTATCATCGGGATTGCTGTTCTACGGCCGTTACATAGACGACATATTTGTCGTTGCGAAGTCCAGAACAGCATTACGTCAAACCTTCTTGAAGCTGAACTCAGTGCACTCAACTATTGCACTGACTGTCGAGGAACCTGAACA